AGAGAAAGTCCGCCTCCATCTCTATTTCTACCATGGAGGCACTGCTCTAATGCCTGCCATGGACACAGTCTTTGGGTAGAAAACCAATGACTTTAATGAGGAAGGCAGATAGAGCTTTCAGTAGGAAGATAACTAATGTACTGGGATTTGAGTCAGGTCTAGTTTCAGAACAGGGATTAGTTATGGTCCATATTCCAGAGAGCCTGAGAAAGATTCAACCATTCCAGAACTGGGATCAAGGGAGCTTTCATTTCTAAGAGAGTAGAAAAGAGATCTGCTTATTTATGAAAGGGACTCTCTGGGTCGCCTTTGGACTCAAAGCTAAGAACTTTAGCTTTATATTTCTATAAAAAGCTTTCTGAAGAAAAGAACTAAAATAAAAAGATCAGTGGGGAGGTCACTGCCATGTGGCAAACTCATTACTGGGGCCATGATCAGAAGCGGGGCCTGGACTATCGCCTGGGGCCCAGGCCAAGTAGGACGCCCTACTCAACCTTTTGGCTTAGGGCACATCACCTGACTTCTCAATTTCACCATCTCCCACATGGTAATACTGTTAGGCACCTGGTAAAGTTAAAATCTCTACACACACGTTACTATTTCAGAACCAAGCAAAGCTGGTTTGATCACGTCTGCCTGTGCCACTTGAAAAAAATCCAGAAGAGAGCTGCAAAGATGACTTAAGATTTCTAGAATATCTCTTCTGAAAGGTCAAGGGATTTGATTGATTCAGCCTGAAGAAGACAGATTTAATAACAATCTTCAAATATATGAAGGGCTTTTACTCATGGACCAGTGAGAATATGAGGACCACATGTTCTCAGTCTGTACTGAGCAGAGATGGGACAAGCCCAGGCTCTGACAAGGAGAAGTTTCTGACATTAAAGGCCACAGGACACAAAGGTGTGGCTCGGGGATGCTAGACAATGTTTTTCTGGGAATTACTTCCTTCAGGGAAGGGTGAGGAAGAAAGAGAGAGGATGATGGGGAAAACTGTGGCAAGGTCTGAACTCTGCAGAGAGCAATCTCCTAGCCCCTGCCAGACATATTATTCTATCAGTCACCTCTTTGTTTCTCTGCTCCGCTCTTGGCCCTTGTGAACATGCCACACCCCAGAGTCAGAAAGCTGCCCTCGAACTGTTTCCCTGAACATCCTGACTGCTGCTCCTTCATGGGCACTGGGTAGAGCTATGCCCACCTCCTGCCCTCAGATCTAGAGCTTCAGGGTATTTGTTGAGCATCTCTCATATGCAAGGGCCCTGTACCAAGGCACTGTTCTCATAACAATCTTATCATCACACCTGTCGTAGGTACTATCATCCCCATTTTGTGGGAGAGAAATCTGAAGCTCTAAGCCAGTAAGCACCAGGGCCAGGATTTCAATCCAGGTCTGATGGGTTCCAAAGGCTATTTTCTTCTCCTCCATCTATTCGGTACCAGAGAGGAGACTGACCACTTTCTGCAGCATGTATCTGCAAAAAGGGGGAGGGGGTGCACCCTGCTCCTCATCTTCTGCTTCCACGATACGCAATATCACCAGAACTCGATTAAACTGCATTATTTGTGATGTATGTGTTGCAAAAATCATTCAAATCCTTTTGTATCCCTGTATTTCATTTGAGAAATAGGAGCTCCAAACCATATCAATGAGGCCTGCTTCTTGTTATTAATCTTTCTATTGTTGGTTTAGACTCTGAAGAACTCTCCCAGATGAGTACAACACCAGGCTGGAAGGCAGGGAAAGAAGAGCCTATGAGTCCCTAGGTGAGGCCCTGACCATCTCTCATCTGGAAGTCTGCGAATAATCGTGCCTTGCCATACTATTATAAAGAATAAGAAAAAATATGCAAATTGTGTGATATCAAAGGAAGAAACACTAATGAATGTGCACAGCAGGAAGCAATCATTTGCACACTTGAGAATTACATTGCTGTGTATGCTTCTGTTACCTGGGCTAATTATGCCTTGATTTAAGTATCTGGTGAGCCTGGAGTGCCATGCTTACTGGGAACCCCTGTGATTATTACTCGGGATATAAGTAAAACAAGAAGCAGTACCTGAGACTGGAGGCTCACACAAGAACATTCTGAGAAGGTTTGCAACTTGGGATAATGTAGGTAAAGTGCCTAGCACTGTATCTGTCAAAAAGAGTCCATTTCTTGCAACTCCTACTTGCTGTAGATGTTAGCCACCCTTAGCCGTGAGCTCTGACAGATGTCTATTCAAATTTTACCAAAGGATAAAAATCACATGACCGGAAATGACCTTAACTGTTATCCAATCTTATTCCTTACATCTGGGGTTAGTTTGCCTGGTTTAGCTGAAGCACACATTGGTCAAATCCTATTAGGTAAACTGCACAGGACATGCAAGCAGTGGAATTTTATTAGACAGTTAGAATCACATTAGCTCCAGCTCTAGCAGACGTAAATGCCCAGGCTTCCTAACAGTATGTTAGCAAGAAAAAGAATCCTTTGGCACATCCTAGAAGAAGGGGGTGTATTCACACCATCTCACCCCCACGCCTTTCTCTAAGCTCTTCGGAATTTGCATGTGTTGTAAAGCATGTGCAACTCCTATGAATATATCTTTTCCCATTGATGGGGCTGGAGCATTTGAGATGGAGGAGCTGAAGGGATGTTTGATGGCAGAATAATGGAGTAGTGGAACTTCAGCTGTGCCTCATTTCAACTGTCTTTTCCCCTTTCACAGAATGCAGAGTTAGGTATTTTCCCTAAAGAAAGGGACTTAGACAAGAATCTGTTCTGTAAATCCAAGAGGGTAGCTGTGACAACCATGCTTCACCCCAGACCCATCTCATGCGGTCCAAGTAACAAACGTTGTGGTTTCTCATCCTCTAGGTCCTCCCCTCACCCTCCCAACCCTTCCAAACCAAACCGCCCCCAGCCTAGGAGTTCCAGCAACAGGACTGGGAGAGCAGATGTGCACAACACAAACAGCAAGATCAGCTTCCAAGCAGGGATGACTGAAAGTCCTACCCACCATCTGAAGAAAGGATCCCAAGTCCAGGAAAAGCAAGAAAAAAAGAGTAGAAAAATTCCTTCTTTTCTTCAGAGCAACACATGCTAGCACTTTACAGATTCTGGCATGTGTCAGCGTTGCTGAAGTAAGCTCTGTTTTCTTTAGATGAAAGAGATAAAAAAAAAATAGACTCAGAATTTAGCCCAATGAAAATTACTTTGGCTATTCACATGCAATAAGCCGTAGAAGCAAGAAGAAAAAAACCAATTGCTTCTGATTTATTTATTCATTCATTTGTCCATCTCCTTTCCCTCTAATGTAAAAAAGGATGTCTTCTATAATTTTGCAGCCAGTTAACTTTTTCAAAGAAAAAGAAAATAGTCCAAGCCTTGGTTGCCCAGCATCTCAGCACAGGAAATACGTATTTAATTAATTATCATATTGCATATAGATTATGTAAGGAACAAAGGGGATTGATTTTGCCCATTAATTGCTTGGCCAGTGTCTATAACCAGACTGAAGTCTGGTGAATTTGGATCAGTTGCTGTGTTGAAAGCAACTGCAAGGATTCACCTCACTGGTTGCTTTATTACTTAATCTGGGTTGTGGGTATACTGGTACTCATTTTATTTTTCTTTAAGTCCTTTTGTAGGTCTTCAATATTTCATACTAAATATTGTTACATCCTCAAATCTTCTACAACGGATTCTATTCTGGGCTATTCAGAGCTGAGAACAGAGAAGGGAAGTTGGAAATGCCAAAATGTAATTGCAATAAAGAGCAGAAAATGTAAGCAACCAATTGTGGAAGGATGTTTAAAGTTTTAAACCTATGCCAAATAATTGAGAGCTATGAAAAGAGGGCTGAATTCTATTAGAATCCCCACATACACACAATTATTGAATTCTTCTGAATACCTGTGGAGACTGGGGGATACAGAAGCTGAATCGAAACCACCAGGACCACTGTCCAGGGCATCCCTTGACCTGCTATTTTGAATTTGCTCACATAATCTCTCCTCCCACCCCTAAACCTTAGCTAGACACTGAGTATGGGGCTGTGACTTTCTGCTTGTGATCCCAGGCCCAAGTTTTCCAGCCAGGACAGCTGAGGGAGTTGAGTGTCCGTCTTTCCCTTTGGGACACAGCCCCCAAACACCACTTTTTCTCATTGCCAAGAGGAGCTACCTGTGGTCTTGCAATCTCTCTGCCATGTCATTAAAGCCAACGGTTCTGTCCCCCTGCCCCCAGAGAGAGGAGGAGGAGGAGGAGGAGGAGGAGAGGAAAGACAGTCCCAATAACTAAATTTCAGTCCTAATCTCCAGCCTTCCTTACAGCTTAAGCTGCTGCCGTCTCCTTGTTCCCGTTTGAACAAGGTTTTATTTTCTAGCCTTTTTCCTTACCCCAACTGTTCAGTCCTCACCGCCGAGAAAACCCTTAAAAGGTATTAAGTGTATTAAGTGAGCAAAGAAAGGATCGAAAGATGAGGGTGTAAGAGGAAGAGAAAATCTATACGCTGTCTAATCAGCCAGTGGGGAGCAGATGTTCCCTCACCCCATTACTTGTCTTTAAGAGCAGAGCTTTTGCCTGCGTAAAGAACTGGTAAAAGAAGTAGCACTTCTGTGAAAGCTCTCAAGAAATAGGATTCTGAAGTTTGACACCTTATTTGTTTCATTTTTGAATACCGTTAGACCAACTGGTTTTACTTCCTTCCCGCTACACACACACAAGCCCCACAGGAACCTCCTGGGAGAGGCTGCCCCCACCGAAGCACGCAGCAAAAACGCCTGCTTTATTGGCCTCACTTGGTAAAATCTTCCCTCTGCTTCACCAAAGTTAACAGATGGCTGGTCCCTTTTGGTACACAGGCATAAGCATCTTCAAAATAACCTTTTCCTTTCAAGTATGCCAATTAATTAAATGTCACTGTAATATGTCCCAGCCAAGGAGGGAAGGGAGAGACCCAGAAGACAAAGGGTCAATGGAAGGGAACAAGAATAAGAGGTCACATTCTCCTACCTTCACCGGACGACCCCGAGAGATCGATGATCACATACACTCTTCCTTCTGGCTCCAGATCAATCTGCAATTAAGAAAATGACAGTGACTCTGTTAGTGCATCGTGTGGGCAAACTGAGAGTTCCACATTTCCACCCCAAACTGCTGAAACCTAGAGTCACAGCTCCATGTAATTCACCAACCTACAAGGTGTCAGGTGCTAGGTGAATTAGGACTGAAAGAGAATCAGCATTGACCGGATGTCTACCGTGATCCGGATGCAGTCCTAGGAGGTTGGATGCATACCCAATAGGTAGCACCATCCCACCGGTTCTCAACCAGGAGCGATTTTGTTCCTCAGGGAACACTTCACAAATGTCTGGAGACATTTTTGATTGTCATGACTGGAGAGAGTGCTGCTACTGGCATCCAGTGCGTAGAGACCAGGGAGGCCACTAAACATCCTACAGCACAGGACATCTCCCCCCGCACAGGAAAGAATCATCCAGCCCCAAACATCAGTCATGTTGAAGTTGGGAAACCCTGTGTTATCCCATTTTACACATAAGGAAGCTGTGCTCAAAGTTCCAAGGTAAGTAGCAATGCTGAGATCCAATGCCAAGACTGTCCAAAGAAACCCATGTTCTTTATACTATACAAACTGCTCCTGGAGGAGCTAAAAGAAGCACAAGACACTAACTAATCCTGTTCTCATGGTATTTACAATCTCACTGGGGAGTTAAAAAACAGAAAACAACACTGAACTCAGCTTAAGGATGAGGGACAGAGACCAAGTGATAAAGTATCTGATGAGCCTGAAATCGGTATTGAAGAGCCATCTGGGAAGTCTTCATGGAGGCAAGAAAGGGAAGGCGTGCAAGGTGGAGGAAACAACATAGCAAGGTGCGGAACGTGCATGGCACTCACGTGAGATGGCTCAGGTCATGTTGACTGCACATGTGTTCTGCAAAGCCCAGGTTCTACCAGGGTTGTGAAGAGAGAGTCCATACTGCTAACTGCTTACCTCTGACCACCTCTACCCACCGAACTTCCTCCCTTCCCATCTCAAATCCAGCTGACTACGTGTAATACACAGAACCAGCCTGATGCAGTCGCATGGAGGGAGAAAAGCCAGAGGGCTGGGCCTCTGTTAGAGACATCTCTGCAAGGTCTGAACTATCCTCACGAAACTGTGTTCTCCACAGGAGAGAGTAGTAACTCCGGAAGCCCTGGATCACCACGTACCCCAGCTAGCCTCTCCCGCCTCCACAATCCCATCTGTCTACACAGAGCTGTCACTGGCTCACGCGTGCCAGGCTCTGTCCCCAGCAAGCTGTGAATTTCTGAGGGCAGGAACCACTATCCCCTCCCTTTCTTTTTCAGTTGTCCCCGGCAAAAAGGCACACATTTAGCAAGGCATACTTAGGAAGAGTCAATCTGGTAGATACCATCTCCTCCTACTTCAAGGTCAAGGTGAATTATCACCTCCTCTCTGAAGCCTTTCCAGATAGGCCTGGTCAGAATTAATTATCCCTCCTCTGTGTTCCCACAGTGCACCAGACACATCTTACTCATGGCTCCCATTAAGCTGTAATATGTTGTCCGTGCATCTATCTCCCCTGCTAGACAGAAAGTATGACAACCATGTTAGCATCTGAGTCTTTAGCTCACTGTCTCTTAGGAAACACCCAGTACATATTTGTGGAGGTGGGAAAAGGCTCCACGCTCAGAACTTCCACAGTCTATTCTGGGATCATTCACTGCCCCCCCACCCCATTGCCACACAGCCTCCGTCCCCCGGAAGGCAGGCAGGCGTGTGATCTATACTAAAAGGACATTTGAACAAGGCAGAGGGGAAGCCGAGGCGGCTCTACCATGAGCCCACGTATTCCCTATGAGGCAAAGAAACCCAGCCTGCACTGACGCTCCCCAGGCCACCCAACGTGTCACTCCACACACAACCCAGGTTCCCACAGCCGCTCTTTATTTCCTACTTTATTTCCTGCCTCAGCCTCTAATGTTGGGGAGTGCTTAAGGTTTCCCTCAAAATTTCATTTTCATCAATGAGGGTTTTCAGTGCCTCGTAGGTGAGGCCCCTGGTGACAGCTCAGGGGCTCTGTCAGGACAGGAAGTGAGCACATCGGCACTGCCCCTCAGGTACCCCCAGGGGCACTCACCTGAGTTTGGGATCCTGAGTGTAGGATCCTAATGGGAACCAAATAACAAACTGGTAATTCCAGGAGATGAATTTTCTCATCCCTTCCACACCAAGAGCCCTTGATTTTAAGTTTCTGGGTAAAGAAAATGTTGTCCAGATTTCTCCGCACTAGCATTGGCCCTCGGCACGAGTATAACCCAGCCGTATACTCAATGACAAACAGGAAACCAACAGTCGGCTCTGCTAAATAGAGCCAAACCAGAATCTTGTCCCTACCAAAGTTCAAAAATATCAGGGGCCCTCTTGCCTGAAAGCATGGAATTTAAATAATGTATGCCTTTTAGAGATTAGATCATCCCTATTAAACCCTGCTGGCAAAATGAAACACTTTCTCATATCCTCCAAGTCAAAGATTTCCCACGACTGTGGTCCCTATTGCCAAAGTACAATGCTATCTGTAAAGCTGGGAGGGAGACAGCGAAGGAATGAGACAAGCTCTGGGGCCTGTCCACAGGCAGGCAGCGTGCCTATCTGCAGAAGGGGAGTGAGAACTCGTGGCAGAGAGGACAGGTCATTGACGATAAAATGTATTCGGATATTAACATTCAAGATAGCTATCAGAAACCATTTTAGCATCCACTGCAGCCTCCATGCTGGCAAACTGCATTCCCGAACAGAAAAATAGGAATTAAGCTATTAAACATGCCAAAAGCAACAAAGAGCTATGCAGCCTGCACAGATGGCTGCAGAGCGCTGGCCAAGCCCCGGACAGCCAAGTGGGGAGGCTCTGAGATTCCATCTAGGATGGTGGGACTTCAATGCCCATGACTGGAGGGGTCACCAGAGTATAAAAAGTGGGGAGTGTGGTGCAACTTCATGGCCAAATTGGTTTAATCACATATTTTGCTAGATAATGAAGCAAGGTAGGCAGGTGCCCAGCCCTGTGCAAGCCTACAAGCTGTCAGTCGGCATCAGAACCAGGCAGCCGCAGGGCACAAATGCAGGCCTGCTACCGCCACCCCCCCACTCCCAGAGTTCACTCTGAACCCCTTCTCCGGCATGCCAGCTGCCTCCCAGTTCTTCCTATGTATCAAATCTCCCTGGACCTCCTACCTTTACTTAACACATCTTCCCAGCTACTACCTCTGTTTTCTTTGACTCTGATACTCTTTCGTGCTACAGTGCTTTTGGCTACCCCGCTAGTTGGAGCCAACAGCCAGGCGGTGGAACAGTGGGGGAGATAAACACAGCCTTTGGCATCAGACCAAGGCTGAATGTCAGTTTTGTCCCTTATTAGCTGAGTGACCTCAGGCAATTATTTATTCTCCCTGAGCCTCGACCTCTTCATCTGTGAAATGGGTTGTCATGAAATTCCATGAGACATGCATGCACTCTTGGCATTCAGGAAATGCTCAGTATGGGTGGTTAAGAGAGAACTTGCTGGCTGCGTGTCCTGAAGCAAGAAATGGCCCTCTCTAGACCTCAGAATGCTTGCCAATGAAAAGGGGCCAATAATAGGCCCAGTGTCGTTTGGGCTGTTATGAGGCTAAATGAGATAATCTATGCAAAGTGCTTAGCATGGCACCTGCCATGAAACTCTTTGTCATCATTGTGCCGTGATTAAAAGGCCATGCCTTCAAGTCTTCTGCTTCTTAGCCCAATGTTCTTTCGACTATAACAAGCTTTCCCCCAACAAAAAAAGGTATTTTCTTACCCAAAGTTGATATTATTACATGTTATTCAAGGATATCTTATGACTTTGCAGTGTTCTTGTGAATATTAATAAAGAACTAAGGTAAAGATTATTGTACCCAGCCTCATGGAAAGCCAGGGGCAGGGAAGGCCATACCCCTGGACCTCAGAAGGTCCTGAGGTGCTCATGAGAGAAGGGCAAGCGCCAGGTGACCACGTATTTTCTGAGCCCCTACTGTGCCTCTGACACTGTGTTGCCTGCTTTACCCACATTAGTTCATTAGTCTCCTGTGAGACTGCAATATTCCCTACTTTCCAGGTGACAAAAGTGGGGCTCAGACAGCTTTCAGCCAGGATTGCCACCCGGGTCTGCCTGGGGCACACACGAGGGGTTGAGACAGCTCCCAAGTCACACTTGCCAACCCCAGCCCTGCCCAGCCCGTGGAGGCTTCTCTGACCACCTGGGCACACTCTCCTTCCTGCAGCCCACCTGTCTCCACGTGGGCTCATGCTCCTGTGCAGGTGTAACTGGCTTCCCCGGCTAGACCTTGAAGGCACAGCAATGTTTCACACACACCTGGACCACCCCGCAGGCCCTGAGGGAAGATCTGGGCAGAAACAAGAGCCCCACTCACGTGAATCGGGAACAAAGTGTAGGGAAGAACCAACACCATAGAAACCCCCGAAAAGGCAACATTTGAAAAGCAAAAATATAGGGACTTTTTGGGGGCGGTGCTCGACCATTTAAATACAAAGCCCTTCACATAAATTATTTCATTTATTCCTCATAATTAATCTATAAGGTGACAAGTGTCATTAGTGCCATTTTATGTCTGAAATAGCTGGGGTTAAGGAAGATAAGTGACCAGCTCCACGACTCCAGGGCCACCATGCACTCCTGAGTCTACGAAGCAGTCCCCAGGAGCTGGACTGGCAGAGTCCAAACTCACACCCTTAACTGCCACCATCCCACACCTGCCCAGCGGGAACCAGGACAGCACAATCGGAAGGATCCCACCGATGCAGCATCTTCAGGCCACCAGTTTGTGTGCTATTGAGAGCGCCCCCGTGATCCACGGGTGTCTGCTTCTGCGTTTTGGGGGTGAATGGATTCAAGTGAGGGTGGTCAGAAATCCAAAGTCAAGCTTCCCCTACCCATAGGCTCAAGTTCAACCCGAGACCTCTAGGCAAACCGTTCCTCAGGACACCCCACAAAGGTCACGCAAGCCAACGTG